TTTAGATATATTTTTTGTGTTGTTTTGAATCCTAGTAGGGGCCTTTATTCCGAGTCTTCGCGTGTTGAGAGTGGCTTGAATTCGAGTGATTGTCTTTTTATTTAAAAAAAAATCTTAACACACTATTCCCACTATTAAATAAGGTGAGGTTGATAGTGGGAGAGAGATGTTTAATATATTGGGCCTTTCTTATAGTGAGATGTTTCTATTAATGTAATTCATTTAGAATTTGGTGCTTTCAGCCATTATCTTTCTTAAGGGTTCTTGTAAATTGTGGGGAGATGTTTTTTATAGTAATTCGATCTGATAAGTTACATGTAAGGTATTTACTGCAAGAGTTGATAGTATGCCTGATATAGGTAATTGATTTGTGACAAGAAACAGTCTTGTACTGGGCAGTGAAATTGTTACACTATATTGGTCATTGCTACTTTACAAATGATGTGGTTATTTTGATTAGTATTAACATGCTTTACATGTGTTTCGGGAATTACAGCAGAAATATGGTGTTTAATTATTTTTGTACAACGAATTCGTCCTGCATAAAAATTATTGTGCATCTGGGTGCAGTAAAATATGTTGATATTTTGTTGTTTGGCTTTTTTATTACTGGTGTCATGTATTTTTTTGTAAAAATATTTTTTTTTATTTATCAATGATGAAGTTGTCAAAATTATTTTTGACTAATGTTTGTTTTACTTTTTTTTTAGTCCACGCAGAAATATTCTTTGGGAAGAGGAATTTTGGTGTGGTATATTTTTATCATTGCTATTTTATCTTTCCGAGCATTGGCTATCACAGTTTAGTTAGAAGACTATCAATTCGTACTGGTGTTTATTTTTTTTTTATATATCGGTAGGTGGTAAATACTTTGTATGATATATATATATATATATATATATAAGTCAAGAAAATCCTTAAAAATCCATCTCGGTTACAATTAATTTCATGAATATATTTATATATTCATCTCTTCAGGCCGAATAGACCGGTCTGAAATATATATATATATATATATATATATAATCCTCCTTAGGTTTACCCATACGGATTACCTAGTTTTTCATAAACTATATATAAGTGAACATAGAAGTCAAAACTTAGAGGCGACAGTCTGTTTCATGCTAGACGCAATCGTCAGGCCACCGACGATTGCGTCTAGCATGAAACAGACTGTCGCCTCTAAGTCTTTGACTTCTATGTTCACTTTTATATTTACACATGCTCTATCTCTGATACTGAGCACTTTATCCCATAAATATAGCACACCTTAAGACTATATTTCTTCATATATATATATATATATATATATATATATATATATATTGCTCTGTTACTTTGATTTCTCTTTGCATTAATGCCCCCCTTAGGATTTATGGACTCTCCCAGCTATAAATAGGAGCAGGTACTGCCTTTTGGAGAGGGAAGTTTCCAGTAGTCAGCTCTGACTTTCGAACTGAACCGTTTCTGTTAATATATTTGTTTAACTCAATTCCTCTCTTGTGTCTTTATTTCTGGCCCTAACAAGGCCACAGCAGAATTGTCCCTCCCAATGTGTGTGTGTATATATATATATATATATATATATATATATATATATATATATATATAAAATATTAGTGGTAAATATACATACATATGCAAAATATATAAATACCCATACGTGTATATTTTTTGAATAAAAATTCCAAGAGGAAGAATCCAGGTAGAACTCAATATCCAGGACAGAGTAAGGATATAATAAAAAGGCTTAAACACTAATATTCCATTAATATTAGTGTTTAAGCCTTTTATATATATATATATATATATATATATATATATATATATATATATATATATATATATATATATATTATATATATATATTTTATATATATTTTATATATATATATATATATATATATATTTTTATATATATTTTATATATATATATTATATATATATATATTTTATATATATTTTATATATATATCAAATTTGAATCATATTTATTATTCTCATATTTTTACTTATGTCTTTTATATATAAATGAGAAAATATTAAATACTAACAGGAGGTTTCACTGTCATGGACTGTAACACTAAAAATTTAAAAAAAAAAGAACAAAAACGACCCATCAGAGAAAGCATTTCCGACTGAAAAGAATGTATTCAAAATCTTCTCCATATTAGATTTTTTTTTTTTTTTTTTTTTTGAGTAAATGAAAAGCTTGAAAAAAAAAAAGTGCACCTAAAATGCCACTTTCATGGAAGCCGTTCTTATAAAAAGGACACTTAAGGATATAGAGAGCATAAGCATAGAACCAGATCGTCCAGTGAAAACATCCATTTTCTTAGCCTTGATACCCCCACCCTCACCATCATGCCAATGAGAAACCTGGCATCAAAGGAACCGATTTAAATCTTATCTGATAACAGCAAGAAAGAACTTTTTCAATTTGTCTTTCATTGTACCGTTTTTATTACTTCTAAATCAACTCAAACTACTTAGAACTGTATCTGACTTGAGAGATTTTAAGCTTACAAGTCGAATTGATACATACAAAAAAAATAAAGAAATATTGGCAAACGAACTTTAATACATTTCTTTTTCCCAACTGTTTAAAAATTTAGAGGGCATGATGTATTTAAGTGGAACGAAAGATTTTTCAATATTGTTTGAAGATGTGATTACGTTTTACATATAACTAAAATCTGTGAAATATATACATATTCTGAAAGGTTAAATTTAAAAGCGTCTTTTTCTAACAAAATTTAAGACTTAAAATAATACTATAGTACAATGGTTTTAAAGAATGGTAACACCGTTTTCTCATTTGCTTTTAACTGGTAACATCCAATTTTTCATGTTTAGTTTATGGTTCACATTTTTAACCCATTAATACCCACCATAATCTGGTATTAATTATAATAGATTATAATTAAAATAATTATAGGTCTTTAAAAAAATCCAGTATTTATTATAGGTTTATAAAAATACAATTTGTTTGTGGATGGTGAATTTTAAAAGTGAAAATGGAAGAAAATGGGATGCATTTTCGTTATTTGATAAAACACGCTGTAGAAGTAGAATAAATATATGATCCGTTTATGGAATTGGTGTCATAGCTGAAAGTACTGTCTGTAAGTATTTTGCTAGGTTCAGGAGTGGAAAACTTGATCTAGTAGACAGAATATTCTGGTAGTCGTTGATAATGACCAAATCAAACGGACATTCGTACATACTACTGAAAGGTTAGGACTAGGGTCAACCCTAACTCTGTAATTGTCAAAAAAAAAAAAAAAATGCTGTCCTGGAAAATTGAATTTCCACCTTTGGTGCTCTAAATATTATCACAGATTTGCAAGTTACATTTTTCTGAGAAATCAGCAACTTATTAGGCTGTAATCCGTATTAAGACAACACTTTATAATCCTTGCACCAACGGAGTAATATAGCAACTACATAGACAACTGAAAACGTTTCTAATAACAAGAGCAAATTTCACAAACAAATAAATTAGTATCAGTTACTGAAGTTGCATAATAAAATTCCACATTATATAATAAGTTATTGTATATATTTCTAATAAAAGCAAGCAATCTGAAATTCATATTGTATATTTATATAGATATAGATAAACCAATAGAGATGTTTCCACGGAAGGATACTGAGAAAACTATGAAGAGATGTGAACAACGAGAAAGTTAGAAGGAAAATGGGAATGAAAAGGACATTTACGCTTTGAATAACAAAGAGATGAAATTTCTGAGAAACATCAGGTAATAAGGATTGTAGAATTTGACACTTACAGGACATATTGAAGGCAAGAGGATCAGAGGAAAACATCTAGTAGCCTGCCTAACAAGCTTATGCAAATGAGTGAGGAATGGAAGGAACAAACATTAGAGAGTTACAAAGGACAGCTGTGGAGAGCCATGATTTTCAACGTCGTAAAAGAACATGGCACATGAAAGAATGAAGATATCTTGAAAATTCTACGTCAGTTGGTTAATAGAAGTTTTATAATGAAAATATTGACTTGTATCATAAAATCGTAAAAAATCTGCAATTTTATTGGTCCAGACCTGGCATCTCGGCCCCATCACCATAACGTAGTTTCCCTGTGCCATTTCTATAAATACTTTCATGGTCATTGTTCTGATGAAATTTAATCTATCGTACCTAAACCTTATGAATTTAAGCACAGTTCTAGATTAGTGGTAAGGTTATTTTACAATTCAAATGTTTAGATGTAACCGAAAGTTCTATGCCAACAGTTTCTTCTCTCTCATATTTATCACTTGTGAAACTCTCTTCTGGCTTCTTGCTTTTTCGTCAAATTTGACCTTCAAAAATTTAAATGCAATGTCAATCAGTATCTTCTCTCTTAATTCCTGTTCTTTTATTGTTCTCCTTAATAGAATTTTTCTCATATTTTCTAACACTCAGTAACCCCTTGTCTGTGGTAATAAAATAAGCACGTCCCATCTCACCTCTTGCTTGCAACCATCCACTTTAATAAAATAAACATTTTCAGCACTAAAGCTGAATTGGTCAAATCAAGCTTCATCAGGTTTAATTAAAGTTGTTGCTTTATTATACTGTCTTAGTGGCTTTATTGCCTTGCTTTGGGTGAAATGATTAAAAAGAATTTGTCATGAAAACAACACTTTTATGTTTTGGGCTTGATACAAACATTTAAAAAAACACATTTGTATAAAAATAAATCTTCAATTTTTTATTTTTTTTTATTTAAAATCTAAATGGATTTTATTTATTGAAACCTTTATTCTTTTTCCTTTATCTTTATTTCTTTTTCCTTTATCTTTATTTCTTTAAATGCTTTACTTTAAAATTCCATTTCTCATGTGCTTCTCTCATGATTTCTTTTAAAAACTGCATTTTTTGCCTTCTTGAGGCCTTTTTATTTTTGTTCTTTCTCTTACTCTTTTCCTTTCCCTATCTCCATCAAGCATTTTCTTTTATTTTTCTCTCTCACATGTCACCTATTGCTAATGATTCTCCTTTTTTTTTTCACTCCGTCTGCAATCATTCTTTTCTACTGTCTTATTGTTTCTCTTTCTTTTCCTTCATCTCTCCACTTCTCTTTTTATCTGTTTGTTTTCCTACTTTATTGTTTCTGTTTCTCTTTTCTTCTCTCTCTCAGTCCTCTCACTTTCACACGTGTTTTCTCTTTTTCTTTTTCTCCCTTCTCTTTTTTCTTTTTCTCCCTTCTCTTTTTTCTTTTTCTCCCTTCTCTTTCTTCTTTTTTTCCCTTCTCTTTCTTCTTTTTCTCCCTTTTCTTTTTCTCCCTTTTCTTTCTTTTTCTCCCTTTTCTTTCTTTTTCTCCCTTTTCTTTCTTTTTCTCCCTTTTCTTTCTTTTTCTCCCTTTTCTTTCTTTTTCTCCCTTCTCTTTCTTTTTTTCACTTTTCTTTTTTCTTTTTCCCTTTTCTTTTTATTTTTCTCCCTTTTCTTTTTTTCTCGCTTCTCTTTTTTCTTTTTCTCCCTTCTCTTTTTTTCTTTTTCTCTTTTTTCTTTTTCTCTTTTTTCTTTTTCTCCTTTTTTTTTTCCTTTTTTTTTCCTTTTTTTTTCTTTTTCTCTCTTCTCTTTTTTCCTTTTTCTCGCTTCTCTTTTTTCCTTTTTCTTTTTTTCGTTTTCTTTTTCTCACTTCTCTTTTTTCTTTTCTTTTTTTCCCTTCTCTCTTCCTGTTTCAACTTTGTCTCCTCTCTCACTCTTTTTGTCTCTCACCAGTGATTATCATTTTTCTTGTTGCTCCATTCTCTCTATTTTTTCTCCATTCTCTCTATTTTCATTTACTTCCTTCTCTCTCTCTCTCACTTTTCCTTGTCCTTGTCCTCTATTCCTTTCCTCTTTCTTACTCAGACACTTCTCTCTGTAAACTTTTTCTTTCTTTCTGTAACTTTCTAAGGCCTCTATCACTTTACTCTCAGCTTTTTCTCTCACCTCTTGAATCTGCTTTCTATTCTTATTTCTTTCTCCATTTCTTCCTGTTTCTTTCTCCATCTCTTCCTGTTTCTTTCTTCAATCTCATTCTCTCTCTAAATTTCTCTTTATTTCTCACCTTTCTCTCTCTACTTTTCTTTCTTTCTTTACTCTAATTTTTTTATTTTTCTATTTTCTTTTTCTCTACCCTCGTTTTTATCTTTCTCTATTCTTCAAATTCTCCTTTCTTTCTCCCTCTTTTTTCTTTCTTTTCCTTCTCTCTTTTCTCTTTTCTTTCTCTCTTCTTTCTCTTTCCCTCTCTCTTCTTTCTCTTTCCCTCTCTCTTCTTTCTCTTTTCCCTCTCTCTTCTTTCTCTTTTTTCTTCCCTTTCTCCCATATGGTTTTGTTTATTCATTATTAGTTATTTGCACATTTTTCTCTCCAATTATTTATCTTTCCAACTTGTCATATTCATTTAGATTCCTTGTGTATTTAGTCCTTCAATACAAAAACTGGAAATGTAGACTGAAAGACTGGAGGTTGCATAGTGATGAGGTGAGAGTGGAAATACAAAGAATTAGAAATGGAAAAGTGCCGAAAAAAGAGAAAGCAGTTAAAAATATTAAGTTAGAAAATGGGGAGGTCATTGATCCAAAGTAACATATTTTAAAAATTTTCTTATTCTAAAATCAGAAGGAACATTGAGATGGCAAAAGATTCCTTCCAAAATCTAAGCAAAGTATTAAGAAACAGGAAAATTTCATTAGAAACAAAAGGCTTGTTATGAAATATCAGTCATCCTATATGTCAGTGAAAGCTGGACAATCTTCTCACAGATGAAGAGAAGACTTGAAGCAACAGAAATATAGTTCTACAGAAGGATGCTCAGAATATCATGGACCGAACATGTAAGCAATGAGGAAGTTTTAGAGACAATGAAAAGAAAAAGAACAGTTATACTTAACATAAGGAAGAGGGAGTTGAAATTTCTAGGGTGCATAATAAGGAAAGAGGGCTTGCAAAATTAGACACTCACAGGACAGATTAAACTCAAGAGGGACAGAGATAAATAGTGTGAGCTTGAGTAAATGGATGACTGAACAAGGTTTAGGAGAGATAGCAAAGAAAATTTATTAAAATCTACAAAGTACAGAAAAATATGTTGAGCCATGATTTCTAATACCATGAAAAGACACCGTAAATGAAAGTTTTAGCGTTTTGTTCTTTCAATTTTTGTTTTTACTCTGTTTTGCAATTTTCCTGCATTTTTTCTTTTACCACTTCTTGTATTCTTCTTTAGTGATTTTCTTCTACCTCACTTTCTTCTATCTCACTTTCTCCCTGTCCTCCTCCTCCCTCTGCATTCTATTACTCATTCCTCTCACTTCTTTTCTGCCTTTTCATCAACCTCTTATTTTTATCCTGTCCTCACCCTTTCCTCTCCTCCTTTTTTCTTCCCCTTTCCTTTTCTCCTTTTTTCTTCCCCTCCTTTTTTCTTCCCCTTTCCTTTCCTCCTTTTTTCTTCCCCTGTCCTCTCCTCTTTTTTTCCTCTCCTCCTTTTTTCTCCCCCCTCCTTTTTCTTCCCCTTTCCTCTTTTCCTTTTTTTTCTTCCCCTTTCCTCTTTTCCTTTTTTCTTTCCCTTTCCTCTTTTCCTTTTTCTCCCCTCCTTTTTCTTCCCCTTTCCTCTCCTCCTTTTTTCTTCCCCTTTCCTTTTCTCCTTTTTCTTCCCTTCTTTTTCTTCCCCTTTCCTTTCCTCCTTTTTTCTTCCCCTGTCCTCTCTCTTTTTTCCTCTCCTCCTTTTTCTCCCCCTCCTTTTTCTTCCCCTTTCCTCTTTTCCTTTTTTCTTCCCCCTTTCCTCTTTTCCTTTTCTCCCCTCCTTTTTTTCCCCCCTTTCCCTCTCCTCCTTTTTTCTTCCCCTTTCCTCTCCTCCTTTTTTCTTCCCCTCCTTTTTTCTTCCCCTCCTTTTTTTCCCTTTCCTCTCCTCCTTTTTTCTCCCCTCCTTTTTCTTTCCCTTTCCTTTCCTCCTTTTTTCTTCCCCGTCCTCTCCTCCTTTTTTCCTCTTTTCCTTTTTTCTTCCCCTTTCCTCTTTTCCTTTTTTCTTCCCCTTTCCTCTTTTCCTTTTTTCTTCCCCTTCTTCCTTCCTCCCTCTGCTCTCTTTTTCTTTTTACCCCATTCTTGTCCCACTTGTCCCCTCATCCCTCTTGTCCCTTTTATTAATTCTTTCCTCCTTTCTTTTCCTTTTTCTATTTCTCTGATATTTTTCCTCTTCTTTTTGCTTTATCTCTCAACAAACTTCTTTCTCCCTTTTCTTTTTCTTTTTCTCCTCCTCCTTTTTACTTTATCCTTTTTCTTCCACCTGCTTCTCACCAATTTATTTTTACTTTCTCCAACTTTTTTCTTCAAATTCTCCTTCTTTCTTTTTTTTGCTTCCTTTTCATTATTTCTCAGTATTCTTTTTTCTTATTTCTCTCTCTTTCAGTTCCTTTCTTTCCCCTAATTTTCCTCTTCTTTCTCCCTTTCCCTCTTGATTTTTTTCTCTCTCAACAATTTTCTTTCCCTCTCTCACCCCTTTCATCTCTTTCTTTTTCCCTTTTCTTTGTTCCCACTCTCATCTTTTTTATTTTTTTCATCTCTTTTCTCTCTCTCCTTTTTATTTCTTTATCTCTTGCTCCTCTTCCTTCCAAGCTAATCATTCTTTATTTTCTTTTTCTATAAATTGTCCCCATTCCTCCTCTTTCTCTATTTTGTTTTTATTCTTCATCTTCTCTTTTCACAAAATTAACTCTTACATGCATACAGATATGCACACATAAGAATGGTTAATTTACATGCTCTATAGCAAATACCATATTCAACGCAAATACTATCCAACCAGCAATACCAACATACTCGCACCTCTTGAGAATCTCTACAATATATACTTACACACAATCAAAATTATTAAGTATAATACTGCTTGCCTTATATCTAATGAACAATATTTTTAATTAGGATAAAGAAAGGCTTCATTTTTTTTTCTTATGTCATTAATCTAGGTTAATCAAACAATTCTGCTTTGCTTATTTTCTTAAATTAGATATAACTTTTTTTATTTAAGTTTCATTTTGAATTGAAAAATAGACAATTTTGGGAAAAGGAAAAAGTTAAAAAAAAAAAATGAAATAAATCCATTGATTGCTTTTGAAATTGCAAGAATATATATATATATAATGTATGTCTGCCCCCAAATATATGCACATTTCAGGAAATAAAAAACATGTCTTTTGTTTGTTATGAAATTGTGATAATTTTTGACAGATGGCATTACCCTCATGGCTGTAGCATCAACAAATCCTAAAGGACATTGTGTATCAAAGAAAACGGATTACATTGGCGGCCCTTTTACAAGAAATTGAAATTGCATGTGTAGGAATCCCAACGGAAAATTTCACTAATGTTGCTGAAGCATTAGTTTGCTGTACTAATAAATGTCTGGAAGCTAAAGGCTACCATTTTGAGTATTTCATGTGATTGTAGAGTCCAAAGGTAACTTGTATTAATTTTTTGATCTCTGAATAAATTTAGTAGTACAATATCTATTCAAGTTTTTCCTTTCCTGAAGTGTGTATACATTTTTTTTGCCAGACTGTGTTTTGTGTTTTTTTTTTTTTGTTTTTTTTTTGTTGTTTTTCTTTTTTTGTTTTTTTTGTTTTTTTTTTTTTTAGTTCAGTCAGTTTGGTTGGTGAACTCTAAGATGGCTAATGAGACCAATTTTTGACTTAAAAGATCCTTCGACATCGAGAACAGGTTGTTTCTCCTGGAGAATTAGGCCTTGGTATTTGATGTTTTTCTTCTCAACATCATTTTTCCCCTCTAGTTGAGCTAATCGTTTGGATTCAAAATGGTCGTTCTGTTTCTGACAATGGCTCACCGGAGATTCCTGTCCATTGCAATGAATTTCCAGCTGTTGATGCTGATTTTTATATCTCTTCATGTTTTGTTTTAGAATGTCCTTGAATCTCTTCTTTTCACTTCCTCTTTTCTGATTTCCTTCTTTCAGTTGGGAGTAAAAGATTTGGTTGTCATTCATTCATACCAAATATTCACTCCATCAAAGAAGGCTTCAATGCTGGTCACTTTATCTTGTTCCAGTATGCTGGTGTTAGTTCTTCAGTCTTCAGATGTCATCAATAAGTTGCACACAAGTGTGTGTTTTTGTCTGTGAAGATGATGAGACAGTCAAAAATTTATAAACAATGTGTTTCCCTGAGACCATCTGATCTCTCTGGCTTCCTCAGGTTAAACTTTTGGCGGACTGATTTAAAACCCAACAGACACCAAACAACTCTAATAAATATATATATATATATATATATATATATAACAAACTGTCAGACAGACACTCTCTTGAGTCTGGATATTGGATGTGATAAGGTAATTTAATTTGATTTATGGTTCCCATTTATCTCCAGAGATCCTAACACATTTTTCCTCACATACAGTTTTGTCTTTCTTTCATTCTAACCTGAAAAAGCCAGAGAGAAAAGATGGTCTTGGTGAAGCATGTCATTTATAAATTTTTCATTTTGTTTCATCATCACCTTTGTTTCAGATAATATTATATATTCCCCCACACATGAACACACCTGTTCTTTACCATTCTTAATACAGTGACCTTGAATTGCAATTGAATATTGGTCAAAGCATAGACACTTTTTTCACAGAATTGATAAGTTTGTAATAAGAAAAAGAACAGGACTAAAAATAGTATGAAGCAAGCAATATATGCAAGCCAAATTAACAGTGATGAGGCAAAATTTCCCAAATTAAGAATTGGGGGTTGACACACAAGAGGAAATTTAGATAAGTGAACATAATGCTCTGACTTTAAGACAAGACAGACCAGGACTAAGTCATATGAAACCAAGAACTGGCCCATTTTATTGGCTAGGAAGAAATCCCTGCATACATTTGTGCACTTCTGCCTATAAATTGGGGAAGGAAAGTGTTTTGCAATCATTCCCTTTGGTAGTGAAACCAACAGTCTTGCATATATATATATATATATATATATATAATGATTGAAGACCAGGTAAATATTTCTTTAAAGAAGATTTTAAATAAGGTGCCAAAAAAGCAAATGTCTACTTTTACTGGAAACTGTAGTGAGTGAGTAGTTAAATGAAAAATAAATAACAGAACTGCCCAACAGAATTGACAAATTTTGCAAGAAAAAGAAAAGAACAAAGCAAACAATATATGCAAGGCAAATTAACAATAACATGGCAAAAAAGTTCTCAAACTAAGAATTGGGTTTGACATAAGAGAAAATTCGGATAAGTGAATGTAGTGTTCTGACTTCAAGGCAGACAAGGTACTGGCCTGTTTTTATTGGCTAGGAAGAAATCCCAGCATACACCTGTGCTTCTGCCTATTACTTAGGGAGGGGCAACTATTTTGCAGTCATTCTCAACAGCATTGTTTGAATGTCTGTGGTTTAATTTTAGTTTTGTTATTGGGTTCATCCCCTCTCGACTCATTTCATGAGTCAATATCTTTATATGAAAAAAAGGGAGAAAAGAAGTCATTTGTACAAATGAATTTTCTATGTCATGGTTATTCTAATAGGCTTCCTGTGAGTATTGTGGTATTTTTTTTTTTTTTTTTTTTTTTTTTTTTTTTAAAGCATTATGCCCCAAGCAAGGTGTGAAGCCACTAGGATCCAGGGGGTTGCAGAAGATTTGGAGCAAGAGCAGATAGGAGTGATAGAAGAAAGGATGAGGAGAAGGATAGTGGATAGATCAAGGTAACTGGAGATGTCGATTGACATTACATTTGAATAGTTGGAGATTATAGCTCTCAGGGAAACAGTAATTTGTAAGGGTGTTCCACAGGCGAGAGGTGTGAGGTATGAAGCTATTGGTGTAGAAGAGACGGCTACATTTAAAAGTTTCTATATACAGTGGATTGAATGTTGATGGATGAGTTCTTGTGATGAACGAGCAAATTGTAATGAATGAGTGGGTCATGAATCAGATTAGCTAGGATTAGGAAATTTAGTGAAGACCAGCCCCACCCCACTTCCCCTTCAGCCTTGTGATAAAATTATATGAAAAATACAATAGATAAACATTCCCAACATGATTGAAACTAACAGTCTCACTAGCAATGTATTTTTTTGGAAATGTTTTCACTTAGGCCATTCTTATTCCAATACCACCTGTTTATTAATATTCTCAAAGAGTTCCAACATGGACAATTCCATAATGTGAGTTCTGAAATCTTCTCACAGTCTTTGTGTTTGTTTACCATAATTGAGATGACTTTGCATCGCAATCTTAATGAGCATACATGGTTAACTAGACTGTAATGATCTTGCATTGCAATGGTCGTGTTCAACACATAAACACTTTTATAGTCATTCACATTTTTTTATATATAAATAACAATTTTAGCACTTCTTCTAACCAGTCCCAATATTCCAATCCTCCCATGTATTTGGAACTCAAGAGTATATTATCCATATATATATATATATATATATATATATATATATATATATATATAATGACATTTTTTATGTTTATACATTCTTTTTATAGATACAAATATTTAAGTAAATGCTCTGTTTTATAATAAATAGTATTAAACAACATTTACTGTTATTTTTTTTTTTTTTTTTTTTCATAGAAAATTTTCATCCTTCAACAGGAATCGAACCTGTATCCTATATGGAACCGTCATATAGCCCGACGTGCCTTAACTGTTTTGGCCACAGAGGAGCGTTCGGTTAGCAAGGTTGATTTTACTGTCTTTAAACTTTAATCTTCTGTGAATCTCTCACATACATTCATTTCTGCTCATGGCGTATCAAATGTAAATGAACGACGTCACACATTATGAAACAGACAAAGTCCGACAATTATTTTAAGACATTTTTATGTTTATACATTCTTTTTATAGATACAAATATTTAAGTAAATGCTCTGTTTTATAATAAACAGTATTAAACAACATTTACAAATATAAATTAGCTGATTTAAAATATGGTTTGTGTAGGGAAGAAACCATATTTTAAATCAGTTAATTTATAATATTTATGCTCTGTAAATTTACATTGAGCACTTTTTTGTAAAAATAAAAATATCAATTAAGAACACCGGATTATATATCTTACTGTTCTTTTTTTTTATATATATATATATATATATATATATATAATGTAGAAAAATAGGAAAGAACAAGTTAGGTAAATAATCCAGGGTTCTTCAGTATT